AAGTGTTCCATGATTCATTGTTTGTGCATAACACCCAGTGCTCCATGCAGAATGTGCCCTCCTCAATACCCACCACCAGGCTAACCCATCCTCCCACCCCTATGGCTTCCATTCTTGATTTGGGTAGTAGTTTGTGGTTTTTCTCTGTAACTTTCCTGTGATGTTAATTTATTTTTGCCACATAACAGATGGGGAAATGTGAGTTATTAAATATTGTACGAGTTAGTGGACACCAGAGTCTTAATTGTTACCATAAGATTCTGTTTGCCAGAGTACCATCACAAAAGTCTAACCTTTGAATTAGGAGACTGTGTGGTTGATACCTTATTATGTTTACCTGGCAAACTAACTTTCATTATTAATTCTTACAGAGCCAGACATAGGCATGCCTGAACAAGATGCTCAGAGGTTTTTCCATCAACTCATGGCAGGGGTGGTAGGTACAGTTGCCTCTTTTCCTTTTGCTTAAAATTATTATGAATGAAGTAAGTTACCAAATTTTGGTATGTTTCCTTCTGTTTCTTTTTTAGGTTTATCTGCATGGTATTGGGATAACTCATAGGGATATTAAGCCAGAAAATCTCCTATTGGATGAAAGGGGTAAGTTGAGCTTTTTGTCACTACTGCCTAAATTATTTTATTTTATTTTAATTTTTTTAAAGATTTTATTTCTTAGCTAGAGAGAGAGAAAACAAGCAGGGGGAGCAGCAGGCAGAGGGAGAAGCAGGCTCCCTGCTGAGCAAGGAGCCCGATGCAGGACTCCATCCCAGGACCCTGGGATCATGACCTGAGCCAAAGGCAGCTGCTTAATTGACTGAGCCACCCAGACGTCCCTGCGTAAATTATTTTAATCCATACAAGGCAGGTTCAAAGCTTTTGCATTATTGAGATTTTAGGGCAGAAAATCTGAAAAGTCTAGGAAGTTTGAGAGACTCCATATATTTAGACTTCACAAGTCCTTCCTGATAATAGTTGTGGATGAGATAGAGAAATCTAACCTAGATGCTCACTAAATGAATAGCTGTATGAATAGTCTTAAACGACTTTTCAATGAATTAAAGTTTCTGTTGGAATACCCTGGACTTTAGCCTTATCTTGTTTTATTTAATTAGGTAGGTAGGTAGTTTGTTTCAAGTTTTTTTTTGTTTTTTTTTTTTTAAGATTTTATTTATTTATGTGAGAGAGAGAGAATGAGAGACGGATAGCAACAGAGGGAAGAGGGTCAGAGGGAGAAGCAGACCCCCCGCTGAGCAGGGAGCCCGATGTGGGACTCGATCCCGGGACTCCAGGATCATGACCTGAGCCGAAGGCAGTCGCTTAACCAACTGAGCCACCCAGGCGCCCGTAATATTAGTTTCAGGAGTAGAATTTAGTGATTCATCATTTACATATGACACCCAGTGCTCATCACAAGTGCCCTCCTTAATACCCATCCCATTTAACCCATCCCCCCGCCCACCTCCCCTCCAGCAACCCTGTTTATTCTCTATAGTTAAGAGTCTCTTTTATGGTTTGCCTCTCTCCCCGCCTCCATGTTCATCTGTTTCGTTTCTTAAATTCCACATATGAGTGAAATCATATGGCATTTGTCTGACTGACTTACTTCTCTTCGCATAATACTCTCTAGCTCTATCCACCTCATTGCAAATGGCAAGATTTCATTCTTTTTTATGGCTGAATAATATTCCATTATAGACCGCAACTTATTTATCCATCAGCCGGTGGACACCTGGGCTCTTTCCATAATCTGGCTATTGTTAATAATGCTGCTATCAACAACAGGGTGTATGTGTCCTTTCAAATCGGTGTTTTTGTATTCTTTGGGTAAATACCTAGTAGTGCAGTTGCTGGGTCGTAGGGTAGTTCTGTTTTTCTGTTTTAAGATTTTTATCTATTTATTTGAGAGAGAGCGAGTGAGTGAGAGTGTGTGTGTGGGGGGTGGGAGAGGGGCAAGCCGACTCCATGCTGAGCGCAGAGTCCGACTTGGGGCTTGATCTCAGGACCCTGAGATCATGACCTGAGTGGAAATCAAGAGTGGGAGGCTTAACCATCTGCACCACCCAGGAACCCCAGGGCAGTTCTATTTTTAACTTTTTGAGGAATCTTCGTATTGTTTTCCAGAGTGGCTGCAACCAGTTTGCATTCCCACCAACAGTGCAAGGGGATTCCCCTTTCTCTGCATCCTCACCAGTATCTATTGTTTTCTGTGTTGTTGACCGGTGTAAGGTGATACCTCATTGTAGTTTTGATTTGCATTTCCCTGATGATGACTGATGTTGAGCACTTTTTGTGTGTCTGTTAGCCATCTGTATGTCTTTGGAAAAATGTCTGTCCATATCTTCTGCCCATTTCCTAACTGGATTATTTGTTTATTGGGTGATGAGTTTGGTAAGTTCTTTATAGATCTTGGATACTAACCCTTTATCAGATATGTCATTTGCAAATATCTTCTCCCATTCCAAAGGTTGCTGTTTAGTTTTGTTGATTGTTCCCATTGCTGTGAAGAAGCTTTTTATCTTGATGAAATCCTAATAGTTCATTTTTGCTTTTGTTTCCCTTGGCTCCGGATATGTATCTAGTAAGAAGTTGCTACTGTCGATGTCAAAGAGGTTGCTGCCTGTGTTCCTCTCTAGGATTTTGAGGGTTTCCTATATCATGTTTAGGTCTTTCATCTATTTTTTTTTTAGATTTTATTTATTTTTTTGACACAGAGAGAGAGCGGGTGTGCACGAGCACAAGCAGGTAGAGCAGCAGGCAGAGGGAAAAGGAAAGGCAGGCTCCCCATTGAGCAGAGAGCCCGACGTGGGGCTCGATCCCAGGATCCTGGGATCATGACCTGAGCCGAAGGTAGATGCTTAACCAGCTGAGCCACCCAGGTGCCCCTGCTCTTTCATCTATTTTGAATTTGTTTTTGTGTATAGGGTAAGAAAGTAGTCTATGTGCATTCTTTTTTTTTTAATTTAAGAGAGGGAGAGAGTGTGAAGTGGGGAGGCAGACAGAGAGGGAGAGAGAAACTCAAGTGGACTCCATACTGAGTATGGAATCTCACGACCTGAGCTGAAACCAAGAGTTGGATGTTCAATGGACTGTGCCACCCAGGCACCCCTAGTTTCATTCTTTTTTTTTTTTTTTTTTAAAGATTATTTATTTATTTGACAGAGACACAGCGAGAGAGGGAACACAAGCAGGGGGAGTGGGAGAAGGAGAAGCAGACTTCCGCTGAGCAAGGAGCCCTATGCGGGGCTCGATCCCAGGACTCTGGGATCATGACCTGAGCTGAAGGCAGACGCTTAACAACTGAGCCACCCAGGCGCCCCCCCTAGTTTCATTCTTTTGCATGTTGCTGTCCAGTTTTCCCAACACCATTTGTTGAAGAGACTGTCTTTTTTCCATTGGTTATTCTTTCCTGCTTGTTGAAGATTAGTTGACCAGGTAGTTCTGGGTCCATTTCTAAATTTTCTATTCTGTTCCATTGATTTATGTATCTGTTTTTGTGCCAGTACATCCTGTCTTAATGATTACAGCTTTGTCATACGGCTTAAAGTCGAGAATTGTGATGCCTCCAGCTTTTCTTTTCTTTTTCAAGATTGATTTGGCTATTTGGGGTCTTTTGTGGTTCTGTACAAATTTTAGGATTGTTTATTCTAGCTCTGTGAAAAATGCTGGTGGTATTTTGATAGGGTTTGCATTAAATGTGTAGATTGCTTTGGATAGTACAGACATTTTAACAATAATTTGTTCTTCCAGTCCATGAGCGTGGAATGGTTTTCCATTTCTTCATGTCCTCTTCAATTTCTTTCTTAAGTGTTCTGTAGTTTTCAGAGTACAGATCTTTTACCTCTTCAGTTTTATTCCTAGATATCTTATGGTTTTTGGTACAATCGATTCCTTGATTTCTCTTTCTGCTGCTGCTTTATTGGTGTATAGAAATCCAACAGATTTCTATCTTTCTTTTTTTTTTAAATCATAATACATTTATTTCACTTACATCAACCTGATACATGTATTTTTAACAATTTGCTTGGATTGTTCATGAAGATTTTTTTTTTTTATTAACATATAATGTATTATTTGTTTCAAAGGTACAGGTCTGTGATTAATCAGTCTTACACAATTCATAGCGCTCACCATAGCACATACCCTCCCCAATGTCCATCACCCAGCCACCCCATCCCTCCGACCCCTTTCCCCTCCAGCAACCCCCAGTTTGTTTCCTGAGATTAAGAGTCTCTTGTGGTTTGTCTCCCTCTCTGGTTTCGTCTTGTTTCATTTTTTCCTCTCTTCCCCTATGATCCTCTGTCTTGTTTCTCAAATTCCTCATATCAGTGAGATCATATGATAATTGTCTTTCTCTGACTGACTTATTTCGCTT